TAACTCCTGCTATTAATTACAGCTCTTACTTTAAAAAAAAAAAACACACTTGATTGCTTTGTATGCTATACAGTAAATTGAAAATTGTTATTATAAAAACAGTTTTTGTGTTGTTTCTCTTGTTTGTTTTCGTTTGCTGACATTTGTAAAGTAAAAAAATGTGCGGATTGAATTGAAGCCGTTCAGTACCCCTACAACAGTTTCATGAACTCCTGCTACATTTTAAACATTGCAATTTTCAATTATAGGAATTGTTAAAAACTGTTTAATTCATTACAAACAACTTCTATATTAATTTCACACACTTTGAACATACATTTCACCTGCTAAAAGAATATTTTCAATTGAATTATTGTTTGTACAAGTGTCGTTAAATTCCAGTTACTTATGCAACTTTTCTTGTTGAATGTTCTTCTTGTTTCATATTTTGTGGTATTTTGCGTAAATATAAATTCGTTAGGGTGATCCCGCGATCACTACAGACCGGAACTCCCCTACAAACTTAAAACAAATTTAGAGGATGGGATTTAATTTCTGGAAAATTCATGAAATTAAGTAGGTGGGTGGGGGAACAGACGTAAAAAAAATTACCAAGATTTTCTAAAAATAATAATTGAAAAAATAAATTCATTCATTTGTGAATAAGTCCTGAAAGTTTCATTAAAATGCGACAATTATTTGATTTTTGTAAGAATTTAAAATTACACCGTTGACGCATAAAAAACAAGATTTTTAACCAAAATTTCGACAATGTTAGAAAGAAGTACAAAATTTTAAAAAATATTTGGTTTTTCTTCTTAATAATAACAAACATTTTGACGATAAAAATTTGTTTCTATTAAGTTTGGGGCCTTTTATTTTCATCATGATATGCTCTTTTTTCAGAGAATTAATGGAAATCTGGGGGCTAGTACAGTAGTGAGTTAAAAAGAAATCCCTGAAGATATTATTTCAGAAAAAAAAAATTATGTAATATCGAGTATGAGCATACAGAAAATTCGGCCCATATCTTGCTAAAAACAATATGTCAAGGAAAACTATAGGCATTTCTATAGGAGGTAAAGGAAAGAAAGAAGATGGAATGCATGGTTGTGACTTGTCAGCAAAAGGAACAACTTTTTGCTGACAACCATACAAAATGCAAACTAATTAGGCTCGTCTATTAGCCCAATCTTACCTTCTTCGAGTAATGCACTATTCCAACTTTCATTCGTAAATCTAGCCCTCTGATTGGTTCATTTCTACCAATCAGGTCGCCCGCACGTGCACTTCGAAGTTTTGGCGCAAAATCGTTTTGGAGCCACCCACGTGATCATGATCTCTTAAAAAAACCAAAGCACGTGTGACAGGCAGATGCAGACCTGGGTAGATCAGCAGCAGACCATTTTTCGACCGCTCACTCAAGCTTAAAAATGTGACGACTACTACTCCCGTCTCGACGAATCGAGACGACAAATCTTTCCCGTTCAATATCTTCTACGAACTTCTTCGTCATTCAAGAATCTCAAACTATACATTCTCTTTGATCATCTACGATAAATCAGTCAGTCCAGCTAACACAGAGAAGCGCTAATCTAATCCACGTAACTTGTGATTATAATTTTCCCGCGCGAAAAAATCCACAAACTCGACTCGAAGATTTCTCTGTGAATACAAAGAACTTCAACGCGCAAGACTTTACTTATCCAAAGTGAATTATTAACGCTCACTACAATTTAAGTAAATACTATTATTGAACATCTTTCATACTTATAGTTAAGGGTAGACTACTTCTGAATGGCTCAATTCTAAACAATACAAAAAGAACAACACGAACATAATAACGGTGTTTAAACACTAATTACGAATTCTTATAGACTGTAATACAAATACACCAAGACACGAAAAAAAAAACAAACAAAATCTTCATCCACTAACAAACATAACAACACAATAATATCTTGTATATAATATTTGTATTCTATATAAATGCATTTGTTTGTTTGAATTGCATACATGTTTTGCCTTGTTTTATATTGAGTAATAGTTATTGTTGTGGATGCAAGAGAAGACCACGCAACCTGACAAAAATTCCTTCAGATATATTCTAACACCATAGCAAAAAATCTTAGTTCATTCTGCGCATCCCCAACAAACTACTAATTGGAGACACAACAATGTGATACTGAAATCTAAGGCACATTGGAATAACGATAGAGATGTCTTCAAAAAGTTAAGCAAAGTAAGAAACTGAAAAATTTCATTAGAAACAAAGAAAATAGTACAGCACTGTTAATGTTATTTTCTATGGGGAAAAAATCAATGAAAAATTTCCTCACAGGTGAAGAAGAGACGTGAATCAACATGTGATTACAGAAGGATGCTAAAAATACCATGTGAGCAATGATGAAGTTTTAGGGAAAATGAAAACAAAAAACAACACTTATACTAAGGATCGGGAAAAGACAATCCAATTTTTTAGGGTGCATAATAAAAAGAACGAGTGCTTGGAAAATTTAACACTCGCAGGACATGTTCAAGACAAGCGGATTAGAGGAAAGCAACGAATAACCTAACTAACAAGTTTGTAAATGGTTATCGGAACATGGTGTAGCAGAACCCCTGGAGGGGGGCAATATGAAACCACGGTCCAAACGCGCCCTTATTTTACATAGATGAGGTTACAAGAGGCCCGCTAACGGTTTTCGAATTAAAGACGTGAAATCTGACAAGGTGAAACAGAATGGACAACGGAACGAGGATATGTATGATTAATGCTAAGTTTATTTAAAAAGAAAGGAGAGGCCGTGGGGTAGATTGGTCTGGCAATTGTGGTAATGGTGGTCGGACTGGTCGTGTCGACGGTTGGGGTTGAGATGCAGACGTTCCGGTCGAGTTGACGGTTTGGAGTCGAGGTCAACGACGGGATGCTGAGGTGCATTCGTTCCGGTCGTGTCGACGGTTGGAGTTGAGGTGCAGACGTTCCGGTCGTGTCAACGGTTGGACGTTAAGGTCGACGACGGGATACTGAGGTGCGTTCGTTCCGGTCGTGTCGACGGTTGGACGTTGCAGTGTAGGCATTGCTGGTCGAGGCCGGTGTCGAAACCTCCCGTAGTAATTACAACAGATAGTATACGGGAAAGGTTGGTCGTTGCAGATGATCGTTGCTGGTTAGCTGGTCTGGTTTCGGACTGGACGTGTCGGGCAGGAACGTGGAGCTGCTCGGTATCGGCGACGGTATCTGGTCAGTGCCGAGAAGCTGGCGTTGCGATGTTGTTGGGCATATCGAATGTCTGGTGCTGGTATTGCGTGTCTGCTGGTCGAGTCCGATATCGTAGTGTACGGGAAAGGTTATGGACGACGTGCGGGCAAGCCAGTAGGGACGGAATGCCAAGAGTCGAACATGGGCAAGGAGCCAGAAGTAAGAAGGCGAAATAAAGAGAGAAAGAGAGGTAATCCAACTCGCGTCCAGTTGGCAGACAAAAAAAAAATGGGAGCGTAACTTAATACGCAGACCGAGTCGGAGTCTGCGTACCGACCGTTCAGGCGTCTGGGTACCGACCATGAATTCGGCGAGAAGTCGCTGTGTTATATTGTAGTGACTACTAATACGTTTGCCACGCCTACAGTTTTCTCAACTGTGATTGGTTAAATAATAAATACTGTTTACCACAGGACAATTTACTAATCGCAGTCACCACACTGAATTTTTCTGTCGCGAATTTCACAAACATGCTTTTGTTAGAAAATCACCGATTGGTCAATTTCACATATTTTCTGTGTTCGTTCAACTTTCCCACTTTGTTTCCTGGAGCCTACCAATAGTTATAAAAGCAGTGTTTTGTTCCAAAAATAGACAGTAGAATTCAGCAACTCACACGCGTCTACACAGATTATTGATTCTACTCACTACGCACACATAGACACAGAACTTGAATTACATTTCACCATTCGTCTTCTGTGAAGAAGGCAAGTTACAAACCAACACTCTGTTAGTTATACAAATAACACACAACTGAATTAACTGTATGCTTTTCTGAATGCAGCATTCTATTTCAACATAGAACTTTGAACATTCTATTCAAGAAACATTCTTAATTACATTTTATCTTATTCAAGCTAATAGAAAAGGAAACTACTTTCTTTTCCTTGATATTCACACATTAGAAAATTGTTTTGTATTTGTTGATTTTAATATATATTTTATCGTTGAAACAAAAATCGTTTTCTCATTGTTTTTCCTTGATTCAATAATGTATAAATGTTAAATGCTCTTCAACACGCAGCCACATTAATCTCTTCAACATAGTACACAAGCAGCATGTTAAGGAAAACCAACAACAGACTCGGTCTCGCAAAAATGCTAAAAAATCTCTCTAAAAATGAGATTTGCTACGACAAAACAAAGGTCTAAAAATGCTAAGAGGTGTATTACGACTAGTTTCGTAACACAAACGGAACTAAAAAAAAAGTAATTATCCCAATCTTAAAACGAAATGAGACTAATTATACAGCATGTAGGGAACACGATCAATAAGGTCAAGGTCGAATGCCCTGCTTTCTTCCGTTTTAGGAAGCGGTCAAAGGCCGGCGCGACAATGGATTAGGAGAAAAAGCAAAAAGACAAACATGCTAAGTAAGAGCTACAGTGGAAGGAAGTTGTAGGGAGTCATAATCACCCTTGTCCTGAAGGGACATAATACACAAGACTATAAGCGTTCCTAATATGTAAAAACAAAGGAACCAATGCGGAAAAAAGTCAGGGTCCAGTTTTAAGTTTATATTGTAAAAATGAACATTTCTAGTCATTTGTCACTTTCATTAATTGCAGACATTAAGACAATCTTTTTAAAAATACACGTCCCATAAATAACTTCATCAACTAATTAAGCTTAATTTTCGACTTTTTTTTAATTGGGGCTGAAAAAAATGCTTTGGAAAGGGGATTTAAAAACGGAATATCGACGACGGGATAATTTTCCCTTAACACCGTTAAATAAGTTTAATTACGGACAATAAACATGGCGAGCAAGCGCGAACTTTTATCTCCTGAAGTGGTAGGACTTTCTTTTGCTTATAAATTTTAACCATCGATTTCAGATATGTCTACTCTGCAAAGTTTTTACATAATTTGTTTTTTCTTCACAATGTATTCATTTCTAACGTGCTATCGATTAATAACCGCATAATATAACACCAATAATTTTTTTTTAAATAACCAGACAAAAATAATTGTTAATGTTTTAGTTTTAAATTGTGATAATTGTAATTGTGAAGTTTGTTTCATGTTTTAAAGTTACAATCAATGATTGCAAAAGAGGAACATTTTTTTTTTACCTCCATAATTCTGAATTCAATTCTTGAGTTTTTACTTTTTATACTTTGAAAGTTTCATGAAGTAAAGAAACTCAAATTAGGATTTTTTGTAGGTTCTAGAAAATCTGTACATTTTTACACTGTGTATAAGAATTCTTTTAAACTAATCTAAAAAATGTTGTAGTTGAAATCTGAATATTTTGCTTAAAATTAGTATCAAAACCAATAATATACGTTACACCTACTTCCAAAGATTCGCTAAAAAAAGCAAAAAGGGCATAAAGAACCCCCTCCCCACAAAAGACTGAATAAAAACAGTTTTATCGTCAAATTTTGTTATTAAAGACCAAAAGATTTCTTGATGTAAAAAAATATTTTTAATCCTTTTTAACTTTCGAAATTTTGTTTAAAAATCTTTTTTCTCTGGCATCAACGGGTGTCCATAAAAGTAAAGTAGTATGTGAAATAAATTTGAGCGTCTTTTTGCGGTGAAGAACATTGATTTGGAAATTGTTACAAAAAATCAGTTAATTTTCGGATTTTAATGAAACTTTCAGGACTTATTCACAAATGAATTAAATTCTTTTTGAAACGTTTCTTTAGGAAAATTTATTTTAAATCATCAATTTTTGGCAGTCAAACAGCCCCCTCTCCGTTACAGAAAATCTGCTCTGAATAAAAAATGTAATAAAAAACTAAGACATTATTTAATAATGAGAAATGCTCTTAATTACATTTATGAATAAAATATAGGGACGCAACTGCCTGAATTTTTTTTTTTTTTTCAATGAATAATGAAATTTTTACAAGAATTGTTTTCCTTTTTTTTAAAATTTAATTAGAATAATTGATAAAGTTTTTAAAACTTAAAATTCTGTATTAATTTGTAGGGGTCAAGTGATTTAAATAAATGAAAAAGCCTATGTGGTGAAAATTAAATAAAATCAATAAATAAAATAATAATAATAAAAAAATAAATTTTCCCATGATGTAAGTAATAAAGGAACTAGAAAGGGTTTTTGGTCATCTACACAATATCATGACCCCACTTCTGGAAAAGATAGAATCTTTCTCTTTTCACTTTGCAATGCTGAGCATTCAGATATGCCTTTCACCTCTACTTATGAAGTAATTTGGTTGTTCCAGCTAAGTACAAAGCATTTCAACCATTATTATCCTTACTTACTCCAACGTACTTCTGGACAAAAATGAAAAATAGACATTGAGAACTTTGTTTCCCTATGATTACTATAAAAAAAGAAAAGAAACGGTCTATAGTAGAAACCAAACTTTTTTTGTATGCTTCTTTTGTAATTGTTTACATGTGAACACATACCTATCATAAACCAACATGCAACCTTAAAATTCCATACTTATTACAATTCAGCAACACCCAGTATTTTACAAAGAATTTTTTTTGTGTGTGTCTATAAACATGCCAATTTTTGTAAATATACTTTGGAATTAATAAAATGATTTCCATGCACCTATTCTGCAATCATTTGTACTAGCACTCACACATTTAGACACAATTGAATAAAAGTTACAAAATCTAACACTCGAACACAAAAGACAGCACACAGTTTAACTAAAGAACTGCAATCCCTGTTACCTAAATGGGAAGGGGAATAAACCAAAGAAAAAAGAAAGATTGAGGGGCAAAAAATAAAGGGGCCGATGACCATCCATACACAAGCTAAGTTAAATCCAGCAACTTGACCAAAAAGAAAAACAACTTACACTAACTTAACACAAGATGACAAATGTTTAAACCAGGCGACCAGCATTCTTATTCTTATGTCACCTCCAGATGCCACTCTAAGTTAGCCCCTCTCAAGTGAACTAAACGTGAAACACTCAACCACTTTTTGCCAAATTTTAATGAAGAGAGTTGCCTCCTTTTTGCTTAAAATTTGACTTTAAGCTGGTGCTTAATGAACAGAATTGTTGAGAAGAGGAAAACTTATCACCTCCATAAAACTCCTCCTGTTGCATCGTCCAAATCATGATAAACATAATGCCAAGTAAACACAAGAACACATAGTGTTCATTCTTCTTCAGCCGTGGCAACATTGCTACAAACAGAATTGGTCTCAAGGACAAAAGAACTTTCCGCCCTAGATGTGAAACATGTAAACTTCAATCATTTTGCACAACGGTCGTACTATGCTACAGTGGAAGATGTGTCCCAAGGACTCAACAGCCCCACAGCAGTGCATGCACTTTGGCGTAACTGCCAGTCCCACTGCACAGTACTTTTTGCTGACCTAGAGGGTATTCTGCAACACCAGCCAGGTGAGTCATGCCCTGTTGTCATTGAGACACTACCACCTGGACATCCAAGACTGCAGAGAGCTAAACTTCACCTTTGTCAAACTGAGTGCATCCCTTAGAGTATCTCGAAAATCCCCCACCTTCCACACTAACACATGATATAATGCCTTAGGAGATAACAATCTTCCTTAACCCGTGTGAAGTCTTTCAAAGCAAGTTGACATTTGCGATGGAAGAAGCACTCGGCCTGAGGAGTACAGCAGGCCTCCTCCTTGCCATCATACACACTTCTCAAAGCTGGAAATGCTTTCTTAGTGTCTTCTTTGTAGAAGAGGCCATTACCCTAATCTTGCTGACCCATTCGATCCAAGAACTTTAGCCGCAATGTCTGTTAACGAATTTCAACATCGGACATTCCTCGATTGCCCTCAGATGAGTGCCAGCAACAGACTGGCCAATGCACCTCAGGAGCCTTGTCATTCTACAATAGGTAAAACAAGACTCAAACCAAGCTTAATGTACAGGAGTGGAAGTACTGAGAGCTGGTAATCAAGGATGGAGTAGATGTGCAAGTCATAAACTTCCGTCTCACCTTTAAGGAAAGCCTCCTCTGAGACCACAGACAAGCTGCAGCCTTGGCCTTTTCTAGGACCTCCAATCAATTCTTCTCCAACTGTTGCGGTTGATCTTGACTCCTGTCACCTCCTCATACCTGCTGATTTCCTTGCCAACTTCATCAATCTTCGTGTTGCTTTTCATGAAAGCGGTGATGTCATCGGCATTAGTGGAATATGTGGCCGGGGTGTTCGCACCAGAGAGGATTATACTATGTAGGACCGGATTTTTCTTTTAACTTACAGAAGAAGGGCTCCAACACAAGAATGTACATCAATGGTGAAAACAGGCAACCGTGACAAATAGATCTGGACAGCAAGAAAGGTTTCGACCTTATTCCATTCACTTCTGCCATTGCACCAGGGGACCAATACAAGTAATGGATCAAGGATTGAAAGTACAGCCTGAAGCTGGCTGACTCGAGAAGTGCCCTGAGAAATCAATGTTCAACCCTATCAAAAGCCTTGGACTGATCTAAATTAATCAGCACAGCCTCACTGTCGACTTGTTTTACGATCAGGCATACCAGATAAAGATTGTCCTGAGTAGTGCGACCCATCACATCCATTAGTTGAAGACCAGTACCAGCAGAGAGACAAACGTGCAACTGCCTCAGGTACACCTCAGCTTGAGGGGGATTGAACTTACTCAGGACTCCAGAAGCCTTCTTCTCTGGGCAGGAGGGGGCAAGGTAACCAATCACGCTACACTTCCAACAAGCTGGTTTCCTACTTGTCATGATGACAGGGTAATTTTTTCTGTTTATCTTCAAGCTATTGGGAATGGAGGTAAAGGCTTCTTGGTTGATCATCAGTTCAATCCCCCACTCACCTGTCTCATATCTGGGAATAACACTCAATAATTGAACATACTGCATAAGATATGACCTTCGATGCTCTACGAGAATGTAATCAGGAATCTCATATACCATAACCTTGGTCCTATGCCGTCCTCGGTATTCTGTGTGGATAATGACTTTTGTGATCAAATCATGAGACATTAAACTTACACAATCATCTGGCATGGGCAATGGTATGTCCCACATGAAATATCCTAGACCTTTAATTATTTGTTGAGTTTTAACCCCTAAATAATTCAGTGCTTTCATCACTGTGCCTTTAATGCATCAACAAATTTTGTGCGAATTTGTCAAGCACAAAGACTGTCACTGTTCTTTTTGTGTTGTGCTCTTGTGTATCGAGGTCTACCAAAAACCTGTCATTGGTAATCAGATGAATGTAGTGTTTGGCTCTCTTGATAAACTCTGCCACAATGACTATGTATTTTGGCTCACATTTAGAAGACTTCTTCTCCTTTTGTTTTGTCAGTTGGAGGTGGGAACAGCCTCCTTTTCCTTGTCTGGTGGATCACAAAGTTCAAGTAAAGGAAAAAAACACAAACAAAAATAAAATGCAGAACAAAATACAAAATAAAAAAGGCTGCGAAAAAAAAAAAAAAGTCCAGCACAAAAAGGAAACAAAATAAAAACAAACTATAATGTAAACAAAAACTAAATCAAATTCAGCTGCAGCAGAAAGAAAATAACAAAATTGAATACAAAAAGTTTATTCAACAAAAAGGAAACAAACCTGGTCAAAAGCAGAAATAAAAACTTAACAGAAAATATGTCCAAATAAGGTCCTTGTGAGTTCAACAGTGTGTCTTAAAAAGAACAAATGACAGAAACCTGCATCAGCAGTCCACTCAAAACTAGTTCACTCGACGTTAATCAAAGCAGCATCTTTTATTCACAGAGCAATTTTTCTGATTGGCCATGCAAGTCAGGGAAGAAAGAACATTAGCATAGTTCTGATACTTAAAGTGGCAGGTTTTAGCTAACAATTTTTTTTTCGGCACATCATGCACAAAACACACTCTTTTTCAAGGTAGGTGATTTTCTCTTTCATTACAGAAAAAGAGACACATGTTCAATTCCTGTTGGTGGCACAATTTTTCTTTAGTAGGACTTCTCAATTTAGGCCAGTTATTGTTAATTCCTCTATTTAATAAAAGAAAAAACAGGAATAGCAACTTAATCATGTCTACCCACTAAAATTAACATTTAGTGTGATAAGAAATGAGGTTAGATAAAAAAAATCCTTTCATAAATTTTTGTAAATATAAAAATATATTGCAAATCATCTTACTGCATTGAATCTCGAGAAAAAAGGATTGTCAGTAGTCTAGAAATGCAGTAAATATTACTGATATGATTGAGCTCACATGTATGTTAGATTTGTTCTTTGAAGGGATCATAAGATTAAGAAATAGCAACTTCTTGAATTTTCCTTTTGTTTCCAGGCAGTTGCAGATGAACAAGCACATGTTCATGGCTTTATGGCAACCTGTGGAATTGGTAATAGACTCATGCTTTATGGCGGTTCCAAATCAGCTTGTAGAGATGAAGGTTTGTAGGCTTTGATTTCTTGGTCTTGTTTAATTTTGTATTTATCAGTTAAAAAAACAAATAGAAGTTATATCAGAAAACGATTTTTCAACATCAGTACTTACACATAAAAATGATTAGTTGAGGAAAAATCTGTCTATATTTCTGAGATGAGGTATTATGTACACTATTTACATTATTCTATTGTCCTCATCTTTGTTGCCATATTTATTATAACGTTTCGTCTGTTGTACGCTCTGTCCTTCTTCAGTTGGTTGGAATGTTGAACTGAAGCCTTTGTTTCTTGGGGCTGCTGCCATGTACCCAGAGTAGTTATGTACCCTTTTGCTAGTTCTACATGCCATGTTTAATGGATGTCAGTTATCAGTTATCTCCTGTTAATTCCCCTCTCCAAGTTCTCCACTGCCTTAACTGGGTCTTAAACTCACACTCTTTGGTTCCTGTCACTAGATCTAATCAACACCTTTATCCACTGTGCCATGTGTCCTTGAGGACATCTGTGTATGAATTTCTGGGTATCATAAACCTAATGTCTCAGCAACCATTTTTTTACCAGAGTTCATATTGCATCTTTTGTTGTTATTATTGCTTTTCTCTGGCACTCCTTGCTACTGGTTCCCATATTGTATTCATTTCTATGCTTGGTCGGCTCAGGAGATTTTTTTTTTTTTTTTTTTTTTTTTTTTTGTGGCCTAGCATATGTGCTGATTCCTTAAGTTTATGAATTTTCTAATGGTGTTCTTTGTCTATGATCTCAATCTGTTCCCACAGAGGGTGGTGATCTTCCTTTTCTCTCTATATGTGGTCAGCCATGCCTGACTTTTCCACTTCCCCTCATGTTACAACTTTCTGGTGTTCTTGAAGCCTTACCTTAAGGGGATGGCCTGTCTCCCTTTATATTTCTTTCTGCAGCTGCACTGGATAGCGTACACACAGTCTTTAGTCATATTCTCCTCTATGGGAGGGGATTCTTACTCAGGAGAGATATCTGCAAAGTTTCGTCCAGCTTTTGAAGGTTGTCCTGATGTTATATAGACCGCAGATCCTTTGTATTTTCTCTGATAACGCCTTTACATAAGGCAGGTAGACTGTTTTCTGAGTGTTGTTGTCCTTCTCTTGTACCTGCCTATCCCAGTTTCTTGGGGCTGCTGCCATGTACCCAGGATAGTTGTTATGTTGTAGGGTACTACTTATACTGACCAATTCTTTATCTAATGTCTCTAGGTCGCCACTTATGACTTTTGCTTGGTGTTGTAAGCAGTGGACGATCCCTTTCTTTAAGTTGTATGGATGGTGAGAGTTGAAATTGAGGTACTGTCCAGTGAATGCCAGTTTATGGTATATGGATGTCTTGAACCCATGCTCTGTTTGAGATGTTGTTACTCTTTTTCTCCATCGTGAACTGTATTGAAGGTCTTATTGAGTTCACATGGTCCAGTAGAACCTGAACATCTTCCTGGTGTGGCCAGAGTATCAAGGTGTCATCTACGTACCTTAACCATAGAGTTGGCTTTAGAGATAAATTCTAATACCATTTTCTCAAAGTATTCCATGTATATATTTGCCATTGCTGGTGATGATGGTGAGCCCATTGCTAAGCCCTCATCCTGTCGATATATGTGTGATCCCATTCCGAAGAGTGTTGTTTGTATATTTATTGTAATAAATATGGTGACAAAGATGAGGACAATAATCCGAATAATTGAGGAAAAATATTTGGAAGTTCTCTGAAATACCAAATATTTTTATGAAATGAAACATTTTTAACTGAAATTAGCATTCAATGTAGATATTAAAAAGAAACAAACAACTCCATATTGAATGAAGCAAAATTCAAAAGAAAAGAAATCAGAGAACAAAGAATAAAAGAAAAACATTTGATGAAGGAGATGGAAAGCTTTCAGCATTGCTACTACATTTCTTTACTTGCATATATCTGCAGCTTAGCTTATAACACCTTTTACTGCTGTCTACACCTGGTGGTGTAACCATGTTTAGTGGTCTGGTCCTCAGGGTCTTAAGACAATGTTTTAACCACAAGGTTAACTTTGCACTGGTCAATGCTGATACTAGTCTATGCTGGTTGTTGAATGCTGGCCACTTTGATCCATACCAACTCAACCTTGATCTCAGAGAAGTGGAAGATTGAATGTTGTAGTAATCACAGCACTGGTTCAAGCCATGGTGAGTGCTATATTAAGGAAGAAATATCTTCACAATGAAAAAATAAAATGAAAGATTCATGGGGTTAATCTTCAATTTGTTTATATAGCTCTTGTTACAACAAAAATTAACCCTTCCCACATCAATTTAGAGTGACACTGTGCTTCACCTAATAATTTGGGTTCAAATTTCTTCAGAATCAGGAAATCTGGTGGCAGCTGATGTTGGTTCCAGAAGCACTTGATACCAGGTTATTCAGCCCAAGTCCTTGAGCTCTCAAAGCTTAAAAACTGGCATGGGGCCTAAGAGGTTCTTGGGATTCGTTTATTCTTCAATTTCCACTTTAATTCTAATAAGGTTTCTTTGTTCCCTATTTCTGCTTTATCAACTTTCTAAATTTGGAGAATTATCCACTTCCTTGGGAGTAATTACAGGGAATTCTCCCCCAACGCCCCCAACTCCAACATTCTTTACCTCAAATTTTGCACCACCACTCCACACAGGTGGCATCAAATCTTGCCTTTTCCTCCTTCCTTCTTAACATTCCACTTCAGCCCATCACTCAAGGCTGGCCCAACTGTCTTTGTGACAAATCTAATTTTCAAATCATGTGGGCAAAAGGGCATAGTTTATTCTAATCATTAATTTTAATTCTCCTGCCTCCTCAATATATATATATATATATATATATATATATATATATATATATATATATATATATATATATTTTTAATAGTTTGCCTAAATTCTCAAGGAAGAGATAAAATTGTTCTCATCTGTGGACTGATCACTGTCTACCAAAAACACAAAGCAGATCATCTGCTTGTCATGACAGGATCAATCTTCATAACTTTGACCCTCACAATGGGTTTGTTCCTTGTTTTTATTTCCCAATTTCTTTTCATCAACGAAAATATGTTTACCCAAATTCTCAAGAAAGAGATAAAATCCAAATCTGTTTTTGTTTGCATGCCAGACTCTCAATAGATAAGAAAAATAAACTTTAGGGAAGAAGATATCCAGATGGTTCCATTTTCACCAAGGAAAATTACTCCACATTCTCTCTCTCTCTCTCTCTCTCTCTATATATATATATATATATATATATATATATCTTCCAGCCTACATTCTATTTTCGACTTAACCCTTTTCTGCTTAGAATCAACATTTAATCAGCTCATAACCTCAGTGTCACAAGCTAAAGTCTAAAGAAACAGCCTGTTGTTGTAATCAGTATCATATTTAATAGATAAAACTGAATATTAAATAATGAACTAGTTTAAATCCCTACAAATGCAAAGAAATCTTTTCACATCTGTATAGATACAAATAACTGTTTTTCATATATAAAATAATATTGTAAATTATTATTATTCTTAGTTTGAAAAAGAAAACTGGCTTTGTGATTCTGTAGTAAATCTGATATTCTGATATACAGGATTAAAATTTAACAAAAATGTTTAAAAGTAAAGTTTATTGTTTGTGTAGACACATTAAAACCTCAAAAAAAATTTTCCTTTTTTTTTTTTTTCCCTCCACCACAGGACATCTTAGAGCAAATCTGCACCATGGTTGTAGACTGCATGAAGTTGAATGGGACAAAGATATGCATTCACCAATCACTCGGCGTCTTGTGAATGAATCACATAGTAAGAATATTCTTTCCCATTTGTTTGTGAGGGGGTGAAAAAATATGTATATTTTTGCCTGTTACACATAAATCTGTAAGCTGCTGATATTCAGCTGCTCCATTGCATCATAAATAGTTTTTATATTGTTACTAATTATTTTTCCAATTTCAATTGGAGTAAATTTTACAAATAGCTAAAAAAAACATTTATGACTAGTTTTTAACAAGCAAAAGTAAATTTTATCAGTGCCTTATATTTAAAGTATTTATATTAATAATTGCTTATGGCTATGTTACATTGAAATATTGATTCTGATCTGATCACCAAAGTTAAGCAACATTGAACTTGGTCAGTACCTAACTGAGTGACCACTTAGGAATACCAGGTGCTGTAAACATGGATGTGCAGGTGGTGTGATGGATAACTGCTCAGAAATCAGAAAACTGAGTTCAAATCCTGGTCACTTATGGACAAATACCCTTGGAAAAGGTATGAATCCACCTCTTATATAGAAAGGTAGACTGAGTCCTATAGACTTGGTTGCAACCAGAATATTTCTGCCCAGTCTATCATGTATCAAAAAGTGACATGATTGCCCAACCATGCATCATACACAGCTCCTAATAATTATGACATTGTAAAATTAATTTTCATGTTAAAATAATTTAATAACTGATATATTCTAAGTGTATTGCTAGTTTAACATTAATTATTATTCATATGTGACTTAAAAGATTAATAGATCCATGATTATTAAGGTACTTGGTCATTAAACTCTGTTTTGGAAGATTGTAGGAAGTATGCACACAAGTAAGTAGTTATAGGGAAACATATTGGCATGTTTTGATTTTCTTCTTAAGTGTTAAATTTATTTGTAATAATTCTATTGAACATTTCAGATATATTTGTTGCTCTTCAACAGCAAGCCGAGAATTTAACTGACCTAGCTTTAAAGTCATAGTAAGTCAGTTTTTTTTTTACATTTTATTTTAGTTTTTTATTTTGAAATATCCATATTCAAACAATCTTGTTTTTGGTTTAGTACAAGAGATTTAAAAGGTTTCTAGCAAAAATCATGACAGCAATTAAATTCATGGATTGTAATTTAAATGTGAAATTTGTCTAATAATTCAATAAATTTGAGACTTCTTAAAAAATTGAAGTGGTCATTCATGAAATGATAACAGTCAGTGAAACAAGATATTTCTTAAATCTAAAATTCATCCGGTGAGGAACAAAGTTAAGATTATAAAACAACAGCATTTGTAGAAATGGACAAAATGCATGTTTAGCAGATGTAAAACAGAGAAAATTGAAATGGTGAATTTCTCCAGTGGAAGGTAGAATGTTTATGCTTTTTTTTATTTCTAATTTTCTTTCATTCTTTTTGTTTTTTTTAAATTTTCAGTCTGGTGAAAGCAAGCCGTTATTATCGTTCTGTAATCAAAGGTTGTTGCTGGGCTTTACAATCAGAATCAGGTCAGAGATTTTCTGTACTTGTTCAGTGTCCAAATGTTATTTTGAGAAAAAGTTCTGCAACAAATACCAACCTGCATTAAAGATGTAATTCTGAAAAAAAAAATTGTAGCTTAATGTGAAAAAAATGAAATATAGAAAGTAACATTTATACAAAATTTGTTATTATAAATGCAAGAGCTGTGAATATTTAAAATAAAAGTTTGGCAGATGTAAGTATAGTAATAAGCTAATTTAAATATTAGAGTGCAGATTCTAAATAGTCTCCCCTTCAAAAGTACAGCCAGTCTCATCAGTTTGTGTGTGGATACTTTGAGTGTCAATTACAATACTTATCTTTACAACAGTAAATTTGATTGAAATCAGTAAGCCGCCATTTTTTTTGGTCAAGCATTCACTGCAGTGCAGTCAAATTTGATTCTCTTAGAGATGATAGCTGCAATTCCTGCAAGGATCCATACCAAAAATTGCACAATTTTCTGTCAGGCATATTTGTATATTCTTTGAGCTGGTGGTTAAAGTGAAATTTCATGTGTGTAAGAAAGAATTCTCTATATTCAGAGTGTACATCCACTTAAGGATGAAAACTAAAAAAAAAACACTTTTCACAGATAATGTGGATGTGTTTTTGGCTTATTGGTAAAGATGACCTAATGCTTCCTGGTAAATATAATTAAATCTTTTAAAAGCAGTTCTATCTAAGCTCATCACAATTGAAGTGTTATTAACTATTTCTAAATTTCACTTGCAATTCTAAATTTTTGTTAACAAAAATTAATAAAAACAAAGATGTCAAGTGATAATACATTATTAGAAAAATTTATTAAAAATAATTCTCTCATTTAAATAAAGTTATTTTTTTATTTTTAGTGTCTAAGTTTTGTAAAAAAAAAAAATAATCATTTTGGGTTATTGTTAAATATGTAATCACTCTGCTGCTTGTTTGAAAATATCTGAATTCAAGTGATATTATTTAGTATTTTTATATTTCTTTACAATATTGACTCATATTCTTGAAACTTTGACATTTGTCTTTTTTTTTCTAAACAGTCATTTTTTTTTCTTCTTAAAGCATTTGAATCTTGATCACCATCTTTTTTTTTTCTGTTTGTGTTATTCTCTTTTTTTTTTTTTTCTTCAAATGGGACCATTCTCTTATCTTCTTAAATAGAGAACACCTCCAGTGAAGATGAGAAAGCTTGGCTTGAGGATCAACAGCAAATTTTTCAAATTATAGAGTTGATCTGGAGTCTTTGTGAGATTTTGTATATTGACACAACTCCTGGTTAGTATATTTTATTTCCTAAATTTATATTGTGGAAATTTTAATAGATTAAAATCAAGGACTTATTAGTGAACTGAAATAATTTGAAGTACTAAATTTTTACACTTCAGTTTCATTCTATAGTTTCTTTTTTTTACAGCACTCTGTGTAGGTATCCTAAACTAAAATTTTATTTTCACTCTCTTTAAAAGCTTTAATGCAGGTATAGAGAGTGTACTGCCTCCCAATACATGTCTGTCTCTCAGATAGGTAAATACCTTATGGCAATCAAAACTCTGAAAACCTGCTCATCAGCAGGATTATTGAACGTCAAATTAGAAAAAGAAAGGCTAGTTTAATCCGAATAACAAAATAAATGAAAAGGTAATATGGTATAGAAAGAAGAAATGTAACAAACAGGCCTGAATGCTGAAGACTCTTGAGACTGAGGATCTAAATGTGTAAAGGAGGTAGCAAGTAGTTTGTTTACAGGAATATGTTTTACAGGTTATAGAAAGAAAAAAACATTACATAAGGTTACAGTATGACACAATATGAAAAAGTCAGCACGTAGCAAAAGGTGTTATACAACAGCAAACTAAATGTATACAAAGGTGGAGCCACTAAACAAATGTTCTAATAATAATACAGTATTAAAGGAAACCAATGCAGAGAGAAAAAGGTTAATAAGTTACATAGCAGTGATGCTATCATTCAGGGTAGATTAAGCTTTGACCCTGTGGTTTATTGTGTCGGTTCTGGTAATTACTATGGGCTAAATAGGAACTGGTCAAAAACAATAATAATCTAAAATGTACCTAAATTAAAAAGGGGACAAACAATGGGGAAATAAAATGATAGATGTGCTGTACTGTGGTAACAGTACAGAAAGCTTGACTAAACATAAAAAATGGGTACTCAATTAACAAAAAAGTCATGACCATTCACAGTTGGTTAGAAAATTTTCTGTCTTGTGTGTTATTGGGCCAGAAGCCAATTTCAACAGTATAACTGAAGATGTAGCTTCAGACTAATTAGAAATCATTATTAATTTAATGTCATATAGGTAGTCTTGAAGTAAAATAAATGTAATACTAATAGAATCAATAATTATTAGATTAAACCAATCTAAACATTGGGAGAAATTGCTTTCTCAAAAACTAAGTAGTTAAAATGTGACAGACAATTTTGACTGTTCATATAAGTTTCATTTCAATAGTTAATGCCTTGCAACTTCTTGTTATGATTCATGGCACAACAAAAATGAAGCTAAATTCTTTTATCAGTAGTACATCAATAACAAAAACTTATATTTACACCCTGTAAAAGAAATGCAATTTGACAGTTGGGCAAAAACTGTTCAAATTTAAAATATGGTTTAGCTGACAATATTCATTCACTCAGCAATACAAATTTTGATGCATCAGACTCTACTGAAATGGACACAGTATACCCTCTTTTTGATTTGTGCACACCTTGAGCTGTATGAATGCAGAAATATGAAACCAACTAATTATTAAAGATGAGATATTGCTCTACGAGAAGGTGCAATTTTCATTTTTTAAGTGTTGAATTTCTCTGATATTTCATCCATTAATGTTTAAACTTAGAAATTTTTTGTGAATGACAACTTCAAACCTTATCTTAAGCCTACCAAATTGACAAGCATCCTTTTTTCAAGATAGGAAAACAAAAATTGCTTAGAGAAATGGAACAGAAAGTGTGGCAGAACCACAAGAGAATTGTACTCTTTTTTTTTTTTTATTATTGATCCTTTCATGGCTGAAGCAGTTATGATGACATAGCTTCCTAAATTGTGGTTTGTAAGTTCAAGTCACATTGAAAATTTAGTTTAGATTTTGTGCTGTTTGCTTTAGAAATCAAAGTGTTTATCAATTCAGAGTGTTGTGATATTGTAGTGAGTCCTGTTAAAATATAAAAATGATACATATAATAAAAAGAATTAAAACAAGACATTTGCACTTTCCTTTAAAACACTTATTTCTTTCTCTCTCTCTCTCTCTCTCTCTGAGAAGGCAACCCTCAAATAAAAAGAGGGAAAAAAAGAAAAACTGAACCCGGCCAAAAAACGCAAAAGTTTGCAGGACCAGAGGCTACTTATTTATAACTATAAATCTACGCTTAACTTCCGTTATAAAAAGGAAAAAGAAAAGAATGCCTGAAAATAAAATAATTTTGGCCAATCAAAAAAATTAACACAAAGAAACTTTTGATGTTAGCCAAAACCAAGGTTCATGCCAGAATCTCAGAGCCTGGTCAAAAGGTCATAAGCTAAATGGGGAAGAGAATGGAGAGGACAGAACAAAAGATGCTACTGTAGAGAAACATGCATGCATGACATGTGAAGAAGTAGTTAAGAAGAATCATGCTTAGGGCTAAGAAAAATACAGCAGATTGACACTGGACTATTTCTAAGATGACTACTACCCCTAGTATGGTCTGACTTCAAAACTACCACTACCAAGCTGAAACAAACATTTCTCCAGACCAATATCTGCCTTAGAAACAAACATTTTGCTACACCAAATAGCAAATAACTCACTCTAAAGCAAATATGTAAAAATATATTATTTATTTTATACCCTTGAGTCAGTTCGTTTTATGCCCTATGTTTCCAGTAAACATCACCAAGAATGTCCCTGGCAAATGACACTGGTGACCTCCCAACTTGAACACATTCATCCACAATATAAATGAGACAGTAAAGCAATTAGTAATAGAATAAGAGTAAAAGATTTCATTTCTTGGAAAAAAAAAAAAAAAATTAATGATAATAATCACCAATGATTATATTTTATTGAATTTGGAACTACATGAATTAAAAATAAATCAATAATCCTTAGCTTCCTGTGTGTATTTTACATATGTGAATCCCATTGTCTCACAAATACTGTCAATGATAGAAAAAGTGAATGTATGATACTTTCTTCTAAGTGTATAAATTATTAATTTTTTATTTATTCACTTGTTCTGCAGTAGTTGCAATGTCATCATTTTATTGTCTTTTTTTACTAGTAAAACAGTCATTTGTGTTATACCAAAGAAATTACATCTAATCAATAATAGCCAAGCAAGTAATTACTGTAAAAAGAATCCTGTCATTGTGGTTTTGCATGAAGTGAATATTATTATATACTATTATTATTATTGTTACTTTATATTCACTGGAATAAGAGTTACTTCTCTTGTTTTGATCTCTTCATATACATTCCATTACAGTAATTTAGTTAGGTTGTATTGTATTATTTCAAACAAACATTGAAATGTGCATTGTTTTAGATATGAACTATTTTTCTATAAATAACTGATAAAACATTTAGTCTTAAATGGCAAAATGAAATATTTTAATTTGAAATAATTGTTTCTTGATAAATTTCTAAGTAAAGATAAAAAATAATTTTATGTTTTCTTCCTTAAAACAAACTTTTTAATATTGTTAAATTTGTAAAATGTATTTTTTTCATTGGCTGAAATGGACTAAAGTCTTTTTTTTTTTTTTTTCACTTGTTAATAAACATCCAGGTGCCCCATCTCTGAGGCAATTGCTTGGTTGGGTCAGGTGGCATTTTACTGAAGGCAAAAAATTGGCGTCAGAAATCATTCAAGATAAACCAGAAAAGCACAGCTGCTACTGGGAAGCTGTAAGTATTGACCATTTACATTAGAAAATCAAAAAGATAGCAGAACCATCTCTTTCATACTCTTGTTTGAAGGTTTTAAAAATATTTTGTGCTTTTTTGATAAACATAAAACTTATATTGAAATGACATTGTTATTGATTTCTACTGTTTTAATCAACCTTGGTATGTGTGCCATTAGGTTTTTGGCTTGGTTAACTAAAGTGTTATTAATTTAGAACACTTTTAGCACAAACTGATTGTTGTAAACTAGTTAAAAAATCGTAATGTAAAATGTTTTCTGATTTTTAGTCTTTTGGTCTAAACTCACATTTATATATAGCTGAGATCTAATCTAAGAATTGCAGAATGTGTATTTTTACTCCCCCACCCATATAACTATTATTAAGTATAATGGAGTCTAGAGTTGGTCGGTTTGGCAATTTATGTTTCAGTATCAGTTTCCGTTTTTTTTTTTCTTTTGATACTGTGGTTTTTGATTCAGTTTTTCAGTTTTTAATTTAGTATTTTTGCTTTCTAAGGAAGCCATTCATTTTCTTGTGTAATGATAGCATTTCCAGTTGATATCTGATTTTGTTTGAGATTGATAAATTTACAACTTAGTCCGTTCAACTCGCAATTTCTCATGTATTTCTGGTCCAATCTTAAAATTATTCATATGGCTGGAAAGGAAAGAAAATAATCTTTCTAAATATGTAATTTGTATGTACTTTTATTCATTGAATTATTTTTTTTACAACAAGTTAAAATGGTATTTTGCTTTGAATAGCCAAAAATGCGAAATATGATTTTTCTTTATTATTTTTTTTTTAGACTAAATTTTACACATTACTATTTTTCGCAAAATCAAAGTGACCAATCTTTATCAATATTTTTGAAATTGTACACTCAATTAGAAGACACCTTAAACTACAACCAGGAAAATGTTCATTTCTTCTCTGACCCATGGAAATGAATTCCTTCAAAAATTATAAAGTAAGCAAAAAAAAATAAAAGAGCAACTGATAGTAACAAATGTGTGGTAAAAAAACTTTCAAATTATTGAAACTACTGACACTGACAGACACTTGAAATCAATGAGTTATTTTTTCTCATGAATAAATTTTTTATCTAGCGAATACACCTAAAATTAAATATTAAAAATAATTAAAAGCTTTTAATTTAATTTTTAGAATGTGTATTTTTCCAAATCTGCGAGTATCACCTGTTCTTTTAGATACACATTTTAAAACTGAAATTAAAAACTATTTTAATCATTTTAATATATAATCTTAAGTGTATTCGCTAGATAAAACCATAAAGATATTTGTAAAAATAAAATGAATTGTTTAGAAGAATTTTATAAATAGAACACTCACTGAACACTAGTTGCTAAAAAAGAATAATTTTTACTTTGGGTTTAAAAAAAATGATTGCAGTTTTGTAAATATACACATTTTAAAACAGATTAAAAATTACTTATTCTATGTGTCATATTTCCTTTTTTTTACTTCTTCATTTCTTTTGTAAACAATTAGATTTCACATTTATTTCCTAAAACTAGTCAATTAAATGTTTTTAACATTTTTGTTCAATCTTTTTCTCTTACAATGGTATAAATGTTGATAAAATTTAATTTTATTAACATCTGAAAGTCTTTTTCAATAGTGTTTCTTTGGATATGGTCACTCAGTAGTGATAGCGCTAAATTGAACGATTTCAGTTTCATAAAAGGTTTAGATGCGGTTTTTATGGTGTGAAGATGAAACCAAAAAAAGGTCAGTTTTTCAGTTAAACTATGTTTTGGTTTGAACTCCTGCAAGTTTATAATAGGAAAAGGAAAAAAATATATTAAGAACATGTATAGATAAAGCTAAAAATTTATTTCTCCCTATTTTCAGATTTATCGCCTTCTTCTTCAAGGCTGCATTGATGAAGCCCTGGAATTATTCTCAAAGCATCCATTGCATAAGACTGATAGCTTCAGAAGCTTGAGTGAAATGATGGGGAAGATGCCACAGCTTGCAGTAAGACATTTTTACCTTCACTATAATGCATAATAATTGATAAACAATAAATATTAAAGTTCTTTCATATAAAATGGCTGAGTATAAGCACATATCTTAATGCCAAACTTTTCCATTTGATTCTGTGACCTTTTCTTAATGAGTTTGTCATTGAAATGCCTTTATAAAATCTTGCTAGATAGAAAGTATTTGTAAGGCAAAAGGCTAAACTTTTGAGAGTTAAATCTTGTATCACTGATGAAAAATCTCAAATTCTTGGTGAGAATATTTTTAGCTTTTATATCCTAAGTGCTCTGACTTTGTTACACTGATTTGTGAGTCATTGTATCTGGTATTATTAAGCAACAGAAGAGATCATCAATCAAGTGCCTGGTTTACTATCTATTAAGTGTGGATCAGATGCACTAAAATTATTACAAGTTAATATTAGAAATACCAGAGAACTATTTTAACGTGGGTAGAACAGCTTCAATAATCACGATGTGCAGAATGTGACAAGGAACCACATTTATCTGTTCCAATGTTCTGTGTCTTTAACTCAAATCAGGACTGGTTCAATGAAAATGAGCAGGAGGCAGAAAATTTTATTCAAAAAAGAAAGATTCAAAATTGCCAAAGGAATGTAAATCTGCCAAAATTACAAAAGGATAACATTTTTACTTAAAAAAAATCAAATCTGAGGTGCAAAGAATAATGTGCAATGACAAGGACCAATGATATTCAGTCCATAGCACTCAGCAGTTATTCAGTCTTCTTAAATGGATTAACCAAACAGTAGCATTTGTGAATGCAAGTGAGAGCAATAAAAGGAATAAACATGCATAAAGCACCAAATAAAGATGGTATCTCAACAGAAATCTTTGTCTTTGGTGGTTCATCATTTCCTTTTGTTGTTTATCAACTTATATGTGATTCTTGGAGGAGAGGAGTGGCACCTAAAGACTTGTAAGGATAATATTGTGCTACTTTACAAAAGTAAAGGTATTCTAAGTCTGGCGTTTAAACAGGGAAGTTCTTTGGTTAATTCTTGGAAATTCAACTAGTTGAAAGTTGACAACAGTGTTAGACAAGGGATCTACTTTCTCCCCCTTTGTTTTCAATATATTTCTAATGCTTTTCTTGTATGGTTAGTGTGGAAATTTGATATTTCATGACATATAAACTTTTTAATCTTAATCGTTTTCAATCAGAGGCAAAATCATTTTATGTATTAATTCAAGGTCTATATGCTGATGAAAGATCTTCTTATAGATCCCCAGTTGTTGATGCAGGCTTTCTGCAATCTGTAAGTAGTTTTGTTTAACAATAAGTCCAAAGAAAACTTAATGTTATGTTTCAACCAGCTCCAGAGAAATAGTATGTGCAGCCTAAAATCAATGTTGAAGGTAAAAGCTGTTGGAAGCTGTTTAAGCTTCATAACTTAAGTGTACTCTAAACTATTCTAGGACTTTAGGTGATGAGATTAATCTCTGCCTGGAGAAAGCTACTGAGGTTTTCAAGTCACTTGTTGCTTATAAATGAAGACAGGCTTTTGTAGCTGCTTTCTATACTGCACTGTATCTGTACATAATATCAAACAATGAAACAGTATTAACAAATATACCAAATAAATTTGTGTTTCAGCAGTGTAATACAGCTTTGCTGGTTTTATGCCATTGTAGGTCCCAGCAGTTATGGTACAAAGATGGTTATTAACCTTGAAATCAAGTGAACAGTTCACACACACACGTATATAATAGAGCTATGCATGCATAAGAACAATTAGATAGAAAATGAGTTCATGTACATGTGATTAGAGTTTGACAGTGTTCCTAATTTTGTGTTTTGTACAGTTAAATAGAAAAACTGATTATTTCTATGATTAGTAGGAGTAGAGATTTTGCATTTATTTGTTTTTCTTTTCTTTTTTTTTCTTTTTATCTTGACAGAATTTTATGTCTCAGGGTCGGTCTTTGCCAGAATTTGACATCAAATGGCGACATTGGCGTGATGAATGTGAACAACGACTTGAAGCTGGAGAATTCCTCACAGATTCAAATCTCACAACCATGGCAAAAGTGATTTTTATTTTTATATATATATATTTATTTGTATATCTTACTTATTATAAAACGCAGATTGTGTGTGTGTGTGTCTGTAACGTTTATATGTTGGATCAAATCTCCTATATTTTTTAGCCGATTTCAACAAAACTTCACAGGACTACATAG